GAGCCACTGCTCCTGGCCTCCATTACTTCTTAGAAATGAAATCATTGCATCAAAGGCTGAATATATTTAAGTTCTTGTTATATATTTTTGAATTGTATTCTAAAAGAGTTGGACAGCTTGCATTTCTAGTAGTAATCAATCAGATTGCCTGTTTCACAGCATCTACATCAGCATCAAATATTATACTTTTTAAAATTCTCCCTGTTTTATCGTCATTCTGATGGAGGTTTCATAAGCAGGGGAGGGGCCGATTGGGTTTGTGTTTTAGTTGATAGAAAGGCTGGGCTGCAGAGAGGTGAGAGAGTGCTGGTACGGAGACCAATTAGGAGAATGTTATACTGGCACAGGAAAGAGATGACATAGGCAGTGCCAGGGAAGGTGGGTTTAAGACATTTAAGATTTAAAAGATATTTCTAAGAAAGATCTGGATGAATTTGTGACTGATTCAAAACTGCCAGGGAGGAAGTGAGGGGTGCCAAGGTTCACTCCGAAGTATCTGGCTTTGGAGGTAGATTGCGGGGTGATTGCATTCACCAAGACAGGGAAACCCGAAGGAGAACAGGTTTGGAAGGAAAATAAAGCTTCCTATTTGCAACATGTTACTGCGGGTACCTTCCAGAGTTCCAGATGAAGACGTCAAAATATCCATTAACAACATGAATCTGAAGCTTAGCAGAGAAGATGGCACTGGGGATAAAAGTTTGGGAATGACTGGGTGCGGAGGCTCACACTTGTAATCCCAGCACTTGGGAGACCGAGGAAGCCGGATCACTTGAGGTCAGGAATTCGAGACCAGCCTGCCAACATGGTGAAACCCTGTCTCCACTAAACTATAAAAATTAGCTGGATGTGGTGGTACACCCCTGTAATCCCAGCTACTCAGGAGGCTGAGGCAGGAGAATTGCTTAAGCCCAGGAGGTGGAGGTTGCATTGAGCCGAGATTGTGCCATTGCACTCCAGCCTGAGTGACAGAGCCAGACTCCGTCACCAAAAAAAAAAAGAAAAAAAAAAAAAAGAAAAAAAAAGTTTGGGAATGGTCTCTGCAAAGGATGATGAATGAGAGATCACTTGGGGATAAAGAATTAACTCAGGGGAAAGCAGCATTTGGAAGGCAGAATGAAGAATGAGTGAAGAAAGAATTGTTCAGTAAGCAGGGGGGAACCCACAGATACTGGTACCCAAATGCCAGGGAGATAAGGAGATTCAGGGAGGGAGAACAGTCAACAAGGTGAAAATATTCCACTGCCCCAGAAGTCAAAGAGGGTGAAGACCAAGAAAGATCTCACAGAGAGTCCCTGGGAGAGGAAAGCAAGGAGAGGCTAAAAAGGAGCAGAGGGAGGAAGCTAAATCCGAGGGTTTATTTTAGAGTGACCTTGCAGGCAGTTGGGGGGTGTTGGGAAGGTGCAAGAGAGGACGCTGGCCTCAGTGGTGAGTCATTCTCTTTCCGTTTTTCTCTTGCCTTTCATGGCGCCAAGAGCTAGTCAGTGGCTCTATTCCTTTCCATTCACCTGACTTGCGGTGACAAGTGGTGAAACTGAAAGTTGGGGAAGAGACTGGAGGCTCAGCCTTGGCCCTAGGGCTGGAGACCTGTTTCTTAGGCATGGTTCTGCTGTAATCACAGATACCTAATGGAGGCTGAACCTCAGATCTCCGTACTTATAAGATGGAGGGGTCGGAGCGGAAAGTGTTGCCTGCAGCTAGCTGTGGTTTGGTGTTTGTCTACACCCACGGTGTCACATGGCTGCAGTAAAGTGAGAAAAATAAGGCCAAGGTAATGTGTGTATCATGAATGAAGTTAAATGTATGCAATTTAAAAGACCGTCCTTTATTCTGAGATTATGTCTTTCTTGGTTTCTCTCTCTCTCTCTGGCATCTGTTTTTTCTTTTTTTTTTTTCTTCCAACTTTTATTTCAGGTTCAGAGGGTACATGTGCAGGTTTGTTCCATGGGTAAACTGCATGTTGCTGGGGTTTGGTGCACAAATGATTTTCTCACCTAGGTAGTGAGCATAGTACCCAAGAGGTGGTTTTTCTATCCTCACCCACCTCTCTCCCTCCTCCCCCTAGTAGTCCCCACTGTCTATTGTCCCCGTCTTTGTGACCATGTGTTCCTCAATATTTAGCTCCCACTTGTAAGTGAGAACATGTGAAATTTGGTTTTCTGTTCCTGCATTAATTCACTTAGGATAATGGCCTCCAGCTGCATCTATGTTACTGCAAAGGACATGGCTTCATTGTTTTTATGGCTGCATAGTATTTCATGGTGCATACATTTCCTGTTTCATGGATGGGAAGTGGCCCTTTCTTTTGTGAAATGAAGGTAGATGGTAGCTGAGGATCGCTGCGTGTTTTCTCTCCACATCTTTACGTAGTGAGTAAGAAGTTGGTAACTCAGTTGGCTCCCCAGTCAGTTTGGGAGGGTTACTGATTTATTAATTGCAAAACTGTGGGAATGAATGGCCGAGATGTTTTTTTTCAGGACCTTCTCCTCTAAAATCCTAAACTCCCGGACCACTGAAGATAGTTCTTGGAAGGAAAATATAGTGACACAGCTGTCAGTGTGGGGTGAAGCGGGTACTGTTGATCCACCACGCCCTGCACCCCCTCCACACACAATGCCTTTGAGTCTGGGCCTCTGCTGCAGAGTGGTGAGCTCCTGGCCTCCCCTTTGGCCCTCAGTCCTCCACGTGCTTTGCAGGTCCGGCTACCTAGAACCCAAGCTTCTGTCACTGCTGCTCCTGCCCAGAGACCAAACGCTCCTGGCTTTCTGTCCCAGCTCAATACAAGGTTCCTGCACGCAGTAGGTGCTCAGTATCTACTGAATAAGTGAATCAATGAATTCCCATTTTACCTATAAGGAAACTGGCTCATCCCCTCTTTAAACTCCTTGAAGATAGGGATATGTACTCCCAGGGTCGACCCTGAGTCCTGGTGAGTGCTCAGGGGATAGTTAAAATATGTTATTTTGCTGACATCACTTGGCTAATGCGTGGCAGAAATTAAATTTGAATCTAAATCCTCCCACTTCAGCCCGCCGCTGTCTCTCCCCACCGTCACCACAGAATGGTGGGACATCCATCATCAGAAAAGGTGAGTTTTGGGAGCAGGACAAACTTTCTAGGCCCCTTTAAATCAAACTCAGCAGCACAAGCATGAGCCAGGTCTTCCCTCCAGCAGTGATTTTACTCTTGTTCACACTGGCAGATAAAGAGGGGTAAACGTGAACTGTCTACATGAGAGGCAGTTTTTACACTTCATCTTTATTTTTCTGAAAGTAATTATTGCACTGAGTTTAAGAAGTCAAGGCCAGGTGCAGTGGCTCATGCCTGTAATCCCAACACTTCGAAAGGCTGAAGCGGGAGGATGGCTTGAGGTCAGGAGTTTGAGACCAGACTGGGCAACATAGTGAGATCCCATCTCTACAAAAAATTTAAATATTAGCTGGGAGTGGTGGCATGTGCCTGTAGTCCCAGATACTCAGGAGGCTGAAGTGGGAGGATTGCTTGAGCCCGGGAGGTCGAGGCTGGAGTGACTCACGACTGCACCACTGCACTCCAGCCTGGGCTACAGAGTGAGACGATGTCTCAGAAAAAGCAAAACAAAACAAAGCAAAAAAAAAAAAAAAAAAAAAAACCCAAAAAACAGAAGAAATCAAAGAGCAGGGTGCCATGGCTCATGCCTGTAAACCCAACACCTTGGAGGCTGAGACAAGAGGATTGCTTGAGGCCAAAGAGTTCAAGACCAGCTTGGGCAACATACTGAGACCCTGTCTGTAAAATTAAAAAAATTCTTGTAAATAAAAAACACAAAAGTCTCATGGGAGAAGGGAAAGCATCAGGAAGAATAGCTAACAGACGCTGGGCTTAACACATGGGTGATGGGATGATCTGTGCAGCAAACGACCACGGCACACGTTTACCTATGTATCAAACCTGCGCATCCTGCACATGGACCCCTGAACTTGAAATACAAGATGGGGAAAAGAAAAAAAAGTTCAAAGGTTACCAAAAACACCTTTAACAAAAAATAGTAATGCCTTCCTTCCCTTTACCCCAGAGGTGACCACAATCACTCTGTTGTACGTATTTTATGGTATTTATCTTCAGATGTCTAAAGAACAGGCTTAGTCACTGTCTCCATTTGTTGGTTTGACCCGTCATCTCTGGACCAGCCTGACAAATGAGCAGTTAGCTTTTTAAGATACTTCCTGTTCCCCTCTTCTACTCAGTGTAGTACACCTCTTGCTTAAGTTAACATTCAATGTTTATCTTATTATGATTATGTGATTTTTATTCAATTGAGCCCATTGAGACCAAGATATGTTTCTCTTCTTGTACAACTTTTTGTTTTCCCTAAAGTTAGTAATTAGGTCTCTTTCTTTTTAAAAATTTGCTTACTATTCTAGATACCTAACAATAACTTTTCTTAGATCTTCTAAGAGCCTTTTAATATTTCCACACATCAAGAAATTCAGATAACCTACCCATTCCATTTTTTCTCACTGATCATCCTCCTGGAACCCTCTGTCCTTCTCCTTTTTTTATTTTTTATTTACTTTTCTTGAGACGGAGTCTTTCTCTGTTACCTAGGCTGGAGTGCAGTGGTGTGATCTCAGCTTACTGGAACCTCCACCTCCCAGATTCAAGCGATTCTCCTGCCTCAGCCTCCCAAGTAGCTGGGATTACAGGCATGCGCCACCACGACCGGCTAATTTTTATATTTTGGTAGAGACATGGTTTCACGATGTTGGCTAGGCTGGACTCGAACTCCTGATCTCAAGTGATCTGCCCACCTTGGCCTCCCAAAGTGCTGGGATTACAGGTGTGAGCCACCATGCCAGGCCCTTCTCCTTCCATCTGGGCTGATTTGCTTCCATTTTCCATCATCCTGGAAGTTTCCTCTGCCACTCTCCTGTTTTGGGATCCCCTGGTTCCCTCGTCTCCCTCTTTCTTGTTTTTTTTCCTAGAAAGTGGGAAGCACACCTTTTGAAAAACTGCATGTCATCGCTTCTCGGCCTTTTGGCTAAGATCAAGTGGAGAAACTGCATGTCTAAAAATGTCTTTGTTTCCCTTCAATACTTAATTGATAATTGAGCAGAATATGAAATTATAGGTGGGAATCATTTCCCTCAGGATTTTGATGCCTCACTCTATTTTCTTCTAGCTTCTGATGTTTTTATTGAGCAGTCTGAGGCAATTCTGATTGCTGATCCTTTGTAAAAATCTTCTTTTTTATCTCTCGGGAAGCTTTTAGGATCTTTTCTTTATCTGTGGAGTTCTGAAATTTCACAATGCTACGTAAGCCTGAGTGGGACCTTTTTTCCTTCATTGTTCTTGGCGCTCAATGGACCCTTTCATACTGGAAATTCAGATTCTGCACTTCTGGAGAAAGTTTTCTTATTACTTATTTTAATAGTTTTCTCGCCTCCATTTCTCTGTCCTCTCTTTCTGAAATAAGGCAGAGTAAGGGGGAAGGGAGTGAGAGGAGATACTATTTTAGACAGAGTAGCCAAAAGTCTTTCTCATGAGGTGATATCTGAGCAGAAACCCGAATGAGTATCCTCTCATCTCTGAGAAAAAATTGTTAGACTTTTTCTCTCGTTCCTTGCTCTGATTCTTTTTCTTTTCCGTTTCCTTTGTCCATCTTTTGTGGTCTCCCTCCTGTCGAGAGGCTTCCCTCACGTGTCTAGTGATCCTTGGCTGAGTGTGCACATTCAGTGGGAGGCAAAACCTCACATTGTACCCCAAACATATACACAGTTATTATTTGTCTGTTTAAACATTGTTTTAACTTGAGCAACAACAAAAAAGAGAGAGAGACTGAAAGCTAATGGGAAGCTCTGAGTGGGTGCAGTTTGTCACCTGGAGATTTTTCTTTTTTTTTAGACACTGGGGTCTTGAGCTGGGAGGCAGGACTCGGCTCTGGAGGTGGGGCTCCCATACCAGATCAAATTGAGGACTAACTAAAACAGGTCCCGGGCAGAAGTAGCTTTCCATAAGACACGCCCACAAGGGGTGCTATGTCAGTTTACTGTTCCCATGGCAACACCCAGATGTTACCACCCCTTTCCAGGGCAATAATCTTGACCCTGAAATGACCACTCTCATTCTAGAATTTCTTCATAAACCACCCCTTAATTTGTATATAATTAAAAGTGGGTATAAATATGAGTGCAGTACTGCCTCTGAGCTGCTAGTCTGTGCACACTGCTCTGCCAGCAGCGGTACCTCTGCTGCTGCTGTGCACGGCCACGTCAATAAAAGTTGCTGTCTAGGCTGGGCACGGTGGCTCATGCCTGTAATCCCAGCACTTTGGGAGACCAAGGCAGGCGGATCACCTGCGGTCAGTAGTTCAAGACCAGCCTGGCCAACATGGCAAAACCCCATCTCTACCAAAACTACAAAAATTAGCCAGGCGTGGCGGAGAGTGCCTGTAATCCCAGCTACTCGGGAGGCTGAGGCAGGAGAATCACTTAAACCTGGGAGGCAGAGGTCGCAGTGAGCCGAGATCGCACCATTGCACTCTAGCCTGAGTGACAAGAGCAAAACTCTGTCTCAAAAAAAAAAAAAAAGAAAAGAAAAAGAAAAAAACAGTTGCTGTCTAACACCACTGACTTGCCCTTGAATTCTTTCCTGGGTGAAACTGAGAACCCTCCCAGGCTAAGGCCCAATTTGGGGACTTGCTTGTCCTGCATCAGTCTCACTCCCACCCAGGCAGGAGTGCAGAGGCACTAACACAGCTCACTGCAGCCTTGAACTGCTGAGCTCAAGCGATCCTCCTGCCTCAGCCTCCCCAGTAGCTGGGACCACCAGCGTGCACCACCATGCGTGTTGTCTTTTTCACTGGGGAACTCCTTCCTGTGGGATTGCTTCCTTTCCCCAGAGAGGAATCTCCCCATCTTCCACCTGGGGGTGCTGAGGGGGAGTGCAACTCTAGAGAGAGTGGGAACATCATCATTCATTCATCCAGACTTCCACTTAGCTCTCCTCACTCTGCCTTCAGTGATGTCCCAAAGTTCCTGGGCCTTTCTGGGATTCCACAGGGCAAGCTTGTTGGCTTCCAGTGAGCACTTCACTCTGTAGACCCTGCAGTTTCTGTCCCTACCATTCCATCTCTGGTCCATTAATGACCCCTTGCCCATTTTCTCTGTCCTCATGATTTCAATGGGATTTAAAGACAGCACACAGGTTAAAATGTATCCAACTCGCTATGTTTAACCAGCACATGAAATACTCTAAAACAAATTCTAACAAACAGATGAGGCTAAGAAATTTTTTTTTCAAGAAAAAGAAAACCCTTGCAATCTATCCCTCCTGTCGGGAAACCCCTGTACTTGACAATCATGGAATTTTATGGGTGAAGTGAATTCAGACATCATCGATGCCCACTAGCTCATTTTATAGATAGAGAAACTGAAACCCAGACTGCAGAAGTAACTTGCCCAGTCACAGAGCCAGTGAGTGGCACACTAACGAGTCCGCAGTTCCCACTTGGAATCCTGTGCCTCTCCTCTCGGCCTTCCCACCAGAGCCCCTCCGGCAGTAGAAAGATTTTCCTCGTGATGGGGCTTTCGAAGCAAATGCTTTTTTGCCCTCTGGGCCAGTCTGACCCCGATCAGTCCTATCTGGAGAAGAAACATGACAATGAACTAGACATTGTTTCTCCGCAAGACCAGGAGTGTTCATGGCATATTAAACAGAGATTGTTTCTGAAAAGACAGAGTCAAGATAACAAATCCAACATAAAATAAACCTGCAGTCAGATTACCAATTAACACCTAAGTGTATTTAAGCAGAAATAAGTTTAATTGTCTAATTAATTTTTCACCAATTAAGTTCATTTTTACATGTTGCGTTTTACACTGCCTTGGCAATGAAAGTAATTGGATCCCTTTATAACCATTTTCCACTTCCTGGTTTGCTAAGTAGTTCAATGCTGTTGTCTATAGAAGATATAAATTGCCCCAAACTGGCCACGTTGCAACTTTATGAAGTTCATAAAATACTTCTATTTGGAGGATGGGAGATGAGGAGAAGCTGCAAAGATGAAAATGACAATTAGTGGAATGGCAGATAGAAAGGGTGCCTGTGGTAGGCAGCCTCTAAGATGGTCCCCAGTGATCCCTGTTCCCTGACATTCACACTCTGGTTAAGTTCTCTCCCCTTAAGTGGGGCCTGGACCTAATAATGACTTCCTTCTAAGGTATAAAATACAGGCTGGGGCTGGATGTGGTGGCACACACCTGTATCCAAGCACTTTGGGAGGCTGAGGCGGGAGGATTGCTTGAACCCAGGATTTCTAGACCAGCCTGGGCAACATGGCAAGACCCCATCTCTACACACACACACACAAAATACAGGATAGGGCACAGTGGCTCACACCTATAATACCAGCACTTTGGGAGGCCAAGTCTGGCAGATTACTTGAGCTCATTAGGTTGAGACCAACCTGAACAACATAGGTGAACCTCCGTCTCTACAAAAAATACAAAAAGTTGGCCAGGTATGGTGGTGAACACCTGTAGTTCCAGCTACTTGGGAGGCTGAGGTGGGAGGATCACCTGAGCCTGGGGAGGTTGAGGCTGCAATGAGCCGTGATCATGCCACTGCACACCAGCGGGTGACAGAGAAAGACTATTTCTCCAAAAATAATAAAATAAAATAAAATAAAATAATAAAAAATTTTTAAAAAATTTAATGAGTAAAATACAGCAAAATCGATGGGATATTACTTCCAAGATGGGTCGTAAAAAGATTTTCAGCCTAACTGCTCTTGCTCATTCTCTCATTTTCTCCCTCTCGCTCCCTCTCTCTTTCGCTCTCTTTTTCTCTCTCAGATCATTCAGTCTGGGTAAAACTGTGTTTTGAGCAGCCCTAGAGAGAAGCCCACGTGCAAAGGAACTGAAGTTTCCTGCCCAAAGACATGTGAGTGTGCCCAGAAAAGGAACCTCCCACCCTAGTCAAGCCTCCAGAGACTGCGGTCCCACCTAGGCCACCCCAAACTGTGATCTTCATCAACTCTGTGATGTAATGATAAATACTTATTGCTTTAAGCTTCTACGTTTGGGGATGATTTTGTATACAGCAATTGTAGGGAGACCTGGGTATGAGTCCTGACTTTTCCACTTCCTTGCAAAATCACTTTGTTTGAGTCCCTTAACCTCTCATTATTTATTTATTTATTTATTTATTTATTTATTTGTGATAAGAGTCTCGCTCTGTTGCCCAGGCTGGAGTGCAATGGCGCAATCTCCACTCACTACAACCTCCAGCTTCCAGGTTCAAGTGATTCTCCTGCCTCAGCCTCCCAAGTAGCTGGGATTACAGGCACCCGCCATCATACCTAGCTAATTTTTGTATTTTTAGTCGAGACAGGGTTTCACCTTGTTGGTCAGGCTGGTCTCGAACTCCTGACCTCAGGTGATCCACCCGCCTCAGCCTCCCAAAGTGCTGGGATTACAGGTGTGAGCCAGCGTGCCCAGCCCCTTAACCTCTCTTAATAACTCCTGTTTCCTCATCTGTAAATGGGGATAACTAACCCCACAGGGTTCCATGGGGATCAAGAAGGAAACTAGCTTTAAATGACAGTTAGGCATTAGATAGTTTTATCTACACTATCTCATTTTTTTCATATTTCAAAGGAAAAAAGAATACATGGAAAATGTCTAGTAAATTGGAGCACCATGCTAGTATTCTTAGAGCCAATTCATTCTATGATTTATTAAAACATTGTTTAACCAAACATCAATCTTGGATCAGCTTTAAATAAACCATATGTCTTTAAGAACCGATGGGTTTTAATTAGTTTCTTAATTAGCATGTGAGAAGTTTGCAAACCTGTTGGGTTTGCTATCAAAATCGGAAGAATAACCTTTATATGATTCCGACATGAGGAGCCAGGGCCAAGGCCCACAGGACCCTCAAGTTAATATGACCCAAGCTCAGCTCTCTCTGATGAGCCCCTGATCAGGAAGGCTGAGTCTCATTAACACCACCACTCTCCTCCCACTCCACCAACCTGGGAACTTCCAAGTCATTCCCCCAGAATCCTCTCCTTCCCCTCTTTACCCCCACTCTTGTCATCAAATCCTGCAATTTTAATTCAGGGACATTTTTTCCCTGCCACCACTCTGCCACTGTTTTAGTTCAGACTAATTATCTTCGCATTTAATCATTAATCAAATATCTATTGACAGTGCGTGG